TCAAATATAAAGTTCCCTTTTTTGACCTTTTAGGGAAAAAAAAAAAAAAAAAAAAAAAAAAAAAAAAGGGTACAAATTTATCCCTTTAAGTGTTCTACCCTAGTGACAAGCTGTTGTACCCCTAAAAGTACCCCAATTTTTGCACATTATTTTCTGGGAGTGTTCTGCCAAGTAATATATTTTATTAGCCAAAATTTAGGCTTTTACAGTTTCCAAGCTACATAGTAACTTGGCACAGAATACAACCAATGTGCTGTCACACATGTGCATATATTGGCTATATACTGTAGATATAAAGTTTGGCACTACCGGTTTTATAATCTACATTTGAAAAATACTATGGAGTTTGTGAGGTACGTGTATGTCCTTAAAGTCCCTTTGAACTTCACATTATTATTGAGGGGGCTCAATATTCGCTGGGTTCTTTCAACTCTTGGACACTCAATCATTTAAAATCAGATTATTTGAATCCTTCATTCCACGGGTGGAGGCTTGATGCATTTGTGGGCTCTCAAAAAAGCAAGGGGAGCTGCTCTCTGAACTGATGTCCTCCATTTCACCTAGCCTGCAGGGGAAATAAGTTCATAGTCTCCCAGACTCCATAACGCAGAGCTGACAGTGAGAGAGAGCTGTGCTCACAATAATGGCTCTGGCCATTGACTGTCTACTGGCTGTCACAGAAATGCAGTCAAAGCTAATTACAACCTGTCTGAAGCAGAGAGGAACTGTGAGGCGACCAAAAACAAGGGCTGGTGAATCACAAGGTATAGCACCAACTTTAAGACTGTAAAGCTTGTAAAAACAAGAGAGCTGAGAAAAGGCCGTCCCAAGAGTGCTGTTGGTGCCTTGTCAGTGCAATATATAACAATTCACTTAAGGAGGTTTGGACCAGAAGGTGCTTATGTTCAAAATAGCTGGTCTTCAAAGACTACTTTGATATCTCTGGAACTGATGGGAAAGTTCTGCAGGCAAATCAGTAACTTCAGAACAGGGTGTTTTAGGAACACAATCTCAATTTCTGCCTTTAGTATGCAGCGTGCAAGAAAAGCTCCGCTGGGAGAATCTTTTGTAGCGAAACAGATAAAGGCAGTGAAATACTACAACAATCCTGAGGGCTCCTTTAATCTCCTCAGGATTTACATATGTTGCCTCACGCAACCCTCCGCAGGCGGCTGTTTGCTAAGAGCCGTGGATGAGGTGGTGGTAGACGAGTCGTTCTCCTGCTAGGCTGAGGGACAAAACCCAGACTGTTTTGACATGATTATGACTTGAAGAGTAAAACCACTACACAGGGACTCGTTTCCAGGCTCCATATAGCATCCCGACGTTGTTTGGCCGCTTCAAAACTGTCAGCTTCTCAGAGGTATTGGCTTTTGTATGGGACACAAGACACTTTGGAGGCAATCAAATCATAGTCCTCCGGGCACACTGCGGGCACTGCAATTCAGAGCTAAAGAAATACCTTTCCTGACCTCTGCTCTCCATCAGTACGATCCCAGTAGTTCAATTACATAACAGATGCTTGAGAAACATACTCTATATTAAATTTCTTCATGGGTCATATAGGCTGCAATGAAAAGGGATTCAAAATATACCAGCAGGAGCAGGGAAATTAGATTTCGGCCTTTTCTGAAAACGAACAATGTCGGCAAATATAATTGGTAATTCGACACACAAGATGAGTATATTCATACTGTGCCGGCACTTCACCTAACAATTACTTTTACACAAAATTCATCCACCACCAGCTGATTTCATCTTGCTGTAGACAACACAGTGAACTCATTCATATGCCACAGAAGTGGATATTCAGGTATGATGTGCACTTTTAGCTTTTGAACGGCAAAATATAAAGGACAGGGAAATACCGAGCAAATTAGAACTGCTCAGCATGTTTATATCTATAAAGAAATGACCAAACCTTTGCAAGAAGACTTATTGAACAGTCTGGTGTCTAAGAAGCTGCCCTCATCTCTCTCTTTTATTGATACAGCTGGTGTAAAGGTTAGTGACTGATGGTCTTTCATCAAGCACAAAGGAACTTCCTCTATAAACAAAGGTCGGGCACACAAATTTTGCTCCCACTGTAGTTTCTGCTTCAAACCTGTGAGCATACACTATCAGTCAACAGTTTGGACACACCTACTCACTATTTTCCACATTTTAGACTAATAGTAAAGTCATCAAAACTACGAATATTAAAAAAAAAATTGAATATTAAACGCAAATGGAAGTATGGGAATTATGTAGTGAGCAAAACAACAAAAAATAAGAAGCTAAATCAAAACTTACATTTTAATTTATTCAAATGTTTTGCTCACATTCGCTCAACCAACGTCATGGTATTCAATTTGGATGATTTTGAACCTCACCAATTTACAATAAATAAAATCTATGTATCTATTGAAATAAAAGTTCAAAAGTTACAGTAAAGAGATTTATAATGCTATATAAAATACCGGGCTACTTGAAATACTGACAAACACTATATTAAGAGACACACAAAACAACAGATAAACATAAGCTTTGTCACGGAGTCTTCTTGTCATAGAGACAAGAGTCATTTCCTTTAAAAATGTTCCTGTAGTGCACACTGCAGATGGCACATCAGGGCACATAGATTATTGGTTACGTATCCTCGCATTATATCACCAGAGTACACTAAAGCCATATTGTGTGTTTACACAGCATTCTTATCAGCTCTGGGAACAGGTACCACTCTGCTCAGTAGTTAACTTTGATTGGTCAAGGACGGTAACAGCATTCTAAATGAATCATTTAGAGCAAAGAAAACATGGATAACAGTCTAGAACAAACATGCAGGTATTTATTGATCTCTGATGATCGATAACCAGTGGAGGCAGGGAGGGAGTGGGGGTTTAGTAATTACTGCAGTCTTTAATGACTATGTGACATAGATTAACCTTCTAAAATTACATAGTATTATCAAGATCTGCAGATGATAATGAGCCTGTGGTCAGGTATGAGGGAGGAGACAGCATGGTACAGCTCGTGTTTTCTCTGCCTAGGTTATTTGCGTTTATTTGCCTGTGCTCTGAATGAACCACAGCTATTAGAGCTTCCAGCTTTCCCCAGGCCGCAAAACCACTCCATTTAATGCTGAGATTTGTTTCTCTCATGGCCTATATTTGCTATACCCCATACTAGTTTAAAAGCAGCAGTGATGCTTTTCTGTAGCTGAGTAAGCAGCTGTGTGGTCTAGAAATTGTGCTGGATGTGTGAGTGCCTGGCTGTAAAAGGATTACTATGAATTACTACATTAGTGACATTTAGTTCCTTGAAATTAGCCTACCTGATGACAGGTGATGATGAGCGCAGACCAAACGAAAATCCCTGACAGAGCTTGAGCAGTGGGGGTGTTAAGGAAGATCTGGTCATCCCCCACTACTTCAGTCCCATTACTTGATCTGATCACGGTCATGTTTGACATGCTGGTTATATTCGACAGCACTGAGTATGATGACAAAGGGGCTGAATTATCCATGTTTTTATCTGAATCCACTGACAGAGAGATGAAATTTGCTGTAGTATATCCGGAATAATTCATCTGTAGGGAAAATAACAACTAAATTTTAAAAAATTCAAAATCAAATTAAAACCAAATGATATTAGTCATAAGTATTTATTATATCTTTCATTTACACCTTTGTTTATACACTATCATTCTGAAGAATCATTAAGTCTAAAGGATTTGAAATCATTCTACTATGCTGATATGGTGCTCAAGATTATTATTATTATTAATGATGAAAACAGTTGCTGCTTAATATTTCTTGTGGAAACTGTGATGCATTTTTTCTTCAGATTTCAAAAGAGCTGCATTTATTTGAAATATAAATCTTTTGTAACATTACATGATGTCTTCGGGATAACTTTTATTCAACTGAATGCATTTCTATTTAAAAAAAATAATCTTAATGACCCCAAACTTTGAATAGTAGTATATATAATTCTGTTTATTCTATGAAATGCAACCCATCTTTATCTATCAATTGCACCATTTCTGTTCCAATGACAGCAAACACTTATTTATTAGTAATAAACTCATTATTACCAGTTATTTCTTATTACAATAAAACGCTGTTTCTTTTGTATGTGCAGTCTACAGTCCTTTTTTATGTTGTTTGGAGATCTCATGTCAAATTATTATGGTTTTACAGTTATTAAAACAACATTTACAGATTTATTATATATTTACTAATTTGATTTTTTTTATAAAATCAAACCCAGCGTCAGAATATATAATTTACAGCACATGTGTAGTACTTTTTTCATTAAAATATGCTTTTACATTGAGAGATAAAAAAGCTGCCTAGCAATCATAGCAATCAAACCTATTATTGAAACAATAGGCAAGACCTGTTTATAGATATTTCATGAAACACTTACCCTGATAGTGTCAACACCTGAGAGAGTTTAGTGCGATCAAACTCGAATTACTTTACCAAAACGTCACTTTACGCTGAACATCGCACTGGGACTAAAATAATAAATACACTACGTACATGAGAGACTAAAGAAACATTAATATACGACATGTAGCCGTAGGTAGACACACGGCCCGTGCGACGACACCGACGACTCAAGCGCGCACTTCCTCGTTGAGCTATTGACAGCTCTGATGTGCGTTAGTCAGCTCGGTGGAAACAGCCCGGAATCGAATTGATCTTTATAAAAATCCTGAAGCGAAGAAACCGGCATAAGAGTGTTTTCCTAAAGGCTTTTCCAAAATCCACACCAACAAGCTCGACGCTCCGTCTCAAATTTGGGCAGGTGTACTTCGCGACAAAACAGCACACCCAGGTCATGTGACCTTGCGACTTTAGTCCTTGGTCACGTGACTTGACGAGCACCTGTCGATCAGTTACAGTATTCTTGCTGCACACGTGCAATGTCAATTGATACACTGTGCATACTGATAAAAAACAATATAGGATATAATTCAGGTACTCCAGGCCACTTTGAGATATAAGAGGGCCATAAAGAAATTACCTTAATTCACACTATATACATTAGTGATTAGTTGTAAAAATAATTTCTTCTCCAATAGGAATATGTTGCAGCAGTCAGGTTCAGAAAGTAATTACATTTATTTTGTAGTAGACCTAGATTAATTGATTTTTAACTATAACTTAAACCTTTACTGTGAGCTATGAGGTCCATATGCCTATGTTAAAGCCATCAACATGCATTGTTTCAACTTTTTTTTAATAATCATGTTTAACAAAATCATTTTTGGTACAATATTACATTAACCACAGTTCTGCAAAGAAATCTCCACTAATCAGAAAATCATGACAAACAAATCTCACCAAAAGAATCTTTAGCGCCCACCCACTCCCATGTCTCCCTTCGCTCTTTGCAATAAACATTAAATATATTTTTCCTATATCTATTATTAACATCGTTCTATTTTTCTCAGTTGTTTTAAAACAATTGGCAAACGCAATTCTTCATATGATAGTAGTTCTTTCCCTCATTGAAGTAGTTTTTACCAATCTTTTCAAATGCATCTTTGCTTCAGGAATCATTATTTATCACATACATATTACATGGGATATACTGATGTATATGATATAGCAATGAAATGTTTTTCCTCAGTTCCTTGACATGCATTATTTCAACTTTTTTTTAATAATCATGTTTAACAAAATCATTTTTGGTACAATATTACATTAACCACAGTTCTGCAAAGAAATCTCCACTAATCAGAAAATCGTGACAAACAAATCTCACCAAAAGAATCTTTAGCGCCCACCCACTCCCATGTCTCCCTTCGCTCTTTGCAATAAACATTCAATATATTTTTCCTATATCTATTATTAACATCGTTCTATTTTTCTCAGTTGTTTTAAAACAATTGGCAAACGCAATTCTTCATATGATAGTAGTTCTTTCCCTCATTGAAGTAGTTTTTACCAATCTTTTCAAATGCATCTTTGCTTCAGGAATCATTATTTATCACATACATATTACATGGGATATACTGATGTATATGATATAGCAATGAAATGTTTTTCCTCAGTTCCTTGGCCGTCAGTTTAACTACCATCAGAACCAACAATGAATTAAGGAAATACACACACACATAATAAAATAATAATAAAAAATAGAATATAGGTTATTTCAAGAAGTATAGAATATAGACTAAGTCAAGAAGTATGAAGTGAATGAATGAAGATAGAATACATGGAAGACAAATATAGTAGAGAAAAAAAAGAATCAAATATATATATATATATATATATTTTACAAAGGTGTTGAGCCAGGTGCCACTCCAAAGACTTTGGGATTGGTGTGAGACATTCAAATAAGCACCAAAAATGAAAGGTAATAAAATATAACTTTAATCTTAGGGCATCTGAAAGACATCCATTATACAGAGACAAAAAGAAGTGATCTTGAACAGTACTCTTAATTTTTATATTAAAATTCAAGCTTTTCAATCAGTGTGCAATAGTAGTTCTTTCCCTCATTGAAGTAGTTTTTACCAATCTTTTCAAATGCATCTTTGCTTCAGGAATCATTATTTATCACATACATATTACATGGGATATACTGATGTATATGATATAGCAATGAAATGTTTTTCCTCAGTTCCTTGTCCGTCAGTTTAACTACCATCAGAACCAACAATGAATTAAGGAAATACACACACACATAATAAAATAATAAAAAATAGAATATAGGTTATTTCAAGAAGTATAGAATATAGACTAAGTCAAGAAGTATGAAGTGAATGAATGAAGATAGAATACATGGAAGACAAATATAGTAGAGAAAAAAAAGAATCAAATATATATATATATATATATATTTTACAAAGGTGTTGAGCCAGGTGCCACTCCAAAGACTTTGGGATTGGTGTGAGACATTCAAATAAGCACCAAAAATGAAAGGTAATAAAATATAACTTTAATCTTAGGGCATCTGAAAGACATCCATTATACAGAGACAAAAAGAAGTGATCTTGAACAGTACTCTTAATTTTTATATTAAAATTCAAGCTTTTCAATCAGTGTGCAATAGCAAGACCATTCTCTGCACAAGTGTCTTGGGTACGTCTAAATTCATAAAAGACAAGTCAAGATTTACATTGTAAAAATTGTGCATATACATCATTTTTCCTCATCCAGAAATAGTGAGTTTGCCATGTGACCTCCTGTTTACCAAACTTGACAGGCTTTGATCATATCTTTAACATTTTTAATAGTTTCAGCACTGTTGTCTTTAAGCGAAAGGCCCAACAGGACCGGTCGGTTGCCTGATTCCTGTGAGACAAACATTGCAACATTCTTGGCGTAGACATGTGTAAGAGGCTGCAAAGGAAACAAAAGGACAAGGTGAAACACAAACATGATTTTATCTGCCATATCGATTATCCAACAAAAGCGCACTTGATTACCTCATCCTTTCCCAGCAGTACTCTGGTAGTGAACATGGGTAGGCTGATCTCACCAGACCTCGTGTCAGGTGTTATGGACACAAGTGTCCCAATTTTACCATACTGTGTCAAAACTATAAAAATGTAGTTGCTGAATTCCGTGCAGACAACTTGAGTTGGGATTCCATTTATTGTTTTTTCTGTCTGTCTTGATCGGATGATGGGTTGAGGAGCCATTATTTACTTTCACCTGAAAAATAAATAAAAGTTAAAAACATGCAGCCTAATAATATTCAGTCATAAAACTCTCACAACTGAAACACGGTTAAAAACGAGAACAATTAATTACTTTAAATACTAGGCAAACCGAGACGAGGAAGCATGGTTAGCTCATTCATTCAGCTCTGTATAGCAGAAGCACGAAGCTACAGCGACAGTAGGCCGCATGAGATCCCTGACGACTAGCTTGTCAAAAGCGGACAGACGACACAGGAAACACCGAGGCTTCAGAGTCTCAGGCGGAGCATTAGATAAGATGCCAACCGAGATATACGCAACAGCCTTATGGTATGCACAAAACGGTTGTAACAAATAGCATAGATATAATAAACATTTCCCACCGCTAGTTTAAAGTCGTATTTTATCCTCTTAGGTCGAATGTGAATCTGTTTGCAAACATCCCTCAGCGGAGACGGAACAGCTGGATGCGTTTCACCTACGCAATGACAAGGGAAAAGATGCGAGCTGAAGGGAGGAGACGGTCTGTTGTTGTATGTGTTTTGGATAACATTTTATGTACGTAACTTTTAATTAAGATTGTATATAATTATATATTTTAAAACATGAAATATTAGTTATATAGCTAAATTTGTACTTTTATTGTTGTCAGTACATATGGAAACATAAATAGGAGAATGATTTTTCCTTTGAAATGAATAGCCTACTTTTACTCAGCAAGGGCAAATAAGTTGATCAGAAGTGACAGTAAAGACATCCATAATGTTACAAAAGATTTGATCACAAAAGAAAAATGTATCACAGTTTCCACAAAAATATTAAGCAGCACAACTGTTTTCAACATTGATCATGTGATGATCACTAGAAGAAGTTTCTTGAGCAGAAAATCATCAGAAAGATTTCTGAAGGATCATGTGACATGAAGACTGGAGTAATGATGCTGAAAATTCAGCTTTGCCATCACAGGAATAAAGTACATCATATATTCAAATAGACAAGATTTTTTAAAATTGTTATAATATTTCACGGTGTTACTGTTTTTACTGTATTCTAATAAATGCAGTCATGATAAGCATAAGATACTTTTTTTCCAAAACAAAACAAAAAGCATGTTTATCATGTTTATAATGTTCTATTATCATATCGGAATTAACAGCAATGTATTTATAAGTGTGTCTGAGTTGCTGTATCTGTACACTGAAACAATATGCAAAGGAGTCAGGCTTGTTGCAAGTCTAAATATTTTGATTAGTAAACAGTGCCCAGGGAATTTTATCGAACAAACAGACATGTAAATCTATTTCAAAATGTTTTATCCTCTCTATCCACCTGGAACAGCCTGATTGCTTGTGGTTTGTCTGGATAGCTTTATCTTCTGGCTGCCTCGCCCCTGTCAGTGGATCTAGTGTGGATGTGCCATACTTTTACTGAGTCTAGTCCATTTGACAGTGTGTGCCATGTTCACTGAGGCTGCTCTTTGTGTTCCAGACTGTAGCTGCTCTGGCAGACTTATCCTGAAGCCTTTGAGCTTTACATCTGACTGAAAAAAAGTTGGCATCTTTGCACTTTTTGTCACAAGGTGCCAAGGTGCTCTCTCTCTCTCTCTCTCTCTCTTAGGTGAATGGAGGATTAGTTCTGTGAAATGTCATTTAAAATGTCACTAATTCACATCAACACGCTTGTTTTAGAATTATATGTCCATTGCCGTGTCAGGTTTGTTATTATAGATCCTTTTCAGTTGTTTTTATTCTAGTTGTAGGTCTGTTATTGGAACCAGAATTAAGAGTAAAGGCCCGTTCACACCAAGGACAATAACTATAATGAAAATGAGAAAAAGATATAATTTTATAAATCGTTCTAAAATGTAAAGAATAGCCACACCACAGCTACAACAATAGTGTCACAGAGCAACGATATCATTGGAATCACTTTCAATGTTCTTTTATGTCAGACTGTAAAATGCAATTTTGATCTCTGGCATCCCATTTACAATTTATTGCACGATTGCCATGCAAACATCATCTTAGGCCAGTATCATGTGAAGGCAATTAATAAGCCTTCACTGAACATGTCATACTAAGCAATCAAAAAGGCTGGTCAAAAAGCCTTTTACAACCTTCAAAATTTTTCTCGACTTTCTCAGTATGGTCTTGTGCCTAATGGATATAAAAAGTAGATCATCAA